CACGGAAGTAATATTTTTTGTAGTGAAAAATGACAATATACCGGTGTTGAGATGTCAATGAAACTTGTTAAACTTTATATTTATAGCTTTCAAGAATTACGTGCGCCTCAAGATTAAATTCCACAGGCCCCTATTGTAAACACACACGTGTGGTAATTTGGTGTTAAATTTACCGGAGGTGAGTATTGTCAACTCGTACATAAAATTGCAGGGTTCAAAGGTAGTAAAAATGCGATATTTTAAAAACTTTTTCACCGATTAACTTAAAAATGAATAGGGTTCGTCCTTTTACAATGGCACATAAGTATATGAAAGCTGAGAAATGATAGTGCAAAGGTTCTCTTTAAAGCTTGCCCACAAGCTGTAACGGACACACTAACACACACGCACAGTAGCGATGCCATATCCCCTCCGCAACTAGTTGCGCGAGGGGATAAAAAATGTGTATATGCTATTAAAAACCATTCGATATGCACTCATCTGTTTTAATTGATGAAACAGTGTGATCATTAAAGAATTTAAAAAAAAAAGAAAAAAGACAAGAAATATGCCTCAAATTGCATGTGCAGAAATATGCCTCAAATTGCTCCGATTGCATGTCCATTTACAAAAAATCTCCAGCGGCCCCCGGACACCAGTCTTACTATTTTTCATTTCAGAATGTTGGCAGCTCTGCCAATCACAGAAAAGATGAAGTGCACAGTTTGAGACTGTTTGTTGTTTGATGTCCCTCTCGAGAATTTTTCACTCATATGGAGATGATACCACTTGCCGGTAGAGGGCTGCAAACTTATGCCTATGCTCGGCACTCAGGGCCATTGAGCAGTGAGGGATCTTTTTCGTGCCAACACCTACTGCGACACGGGACCTCGGTTTATACGGTCTCATCCAAATGATCGGTCTCCACGTCCCGCAGTGGATTTGAAAACGCAGCGTAAGGATCAGCTCCTTACTCCGCGACTCTTTTTCCCAATTGGTGAACAATGCTTTTATATTTAATAATCTTGGAAAAACACTTAGTAAAGTTGTCAGATTATCTGTAATTTTCCTCTATTTAACTCATTTAGCAAAGCTACCGTCATAATATATATTTAAAATCACTGTAAACATCGCCAACCTTTAATCCAAATTTCCTCTTTTTTTCTGAAAATGGTGATAGTGTGTAATATTATAGATTTATTAAGTTATTTCCACAAACTCAATTAATCTACGAGTGAATGGTAAGAATAGTAGGCATTATTTCAGATAGAAAGATATCTAATGCATATTAAAAGGGGACTTTGAGAAAATGTGTACTTAGTATAATTTTTTCAGGATGTTTGTATCTTCAGAAACAGATTCTTATAATGACCTAAATTGGAATCTCATACACATATGCATTACCCTAAGTTGTATAAATACGTATACTCACTGAAGCCAAATCTAGTTTTATTTAAGGAATCATTGTCTACTTTGTTGGGTATCCCAGGGCATCAACGATAGTTGGAAACGTGGGATAAATTGCATAACGGACGAAGCCCGTTATGCAATAATTATCCCACGTTTCCAACTCGTTGATGTCCCTGGCATACCCAACAAACTAGACAGTGATTCCTTATATTTATATTTATATGTGAAATAAAATTGTAAATATAAATAGAAAATGCTGTCTAATAGAATTGAAATACATGAGGCCTCCCATGTAAATTTCAATAGTCCTCGCCAACTGACGTCAGACACAAAGACAGCTGCACGAGACTGACATGCATATTAGGCTCCTGACCTTTCACTTGGCGTAATTTACATTCAGGTGTAATTACCAAGAAATCAACTCACCTAACTTTCAAAGAGATATTTCAGAGACAACAATTAGAAATGTAAATATTCTATTATAAATAGTCTAATATGTTGACGGTGCGACCGTTTGGGCGAGCTCAGATACATGTACCGATTCAGTTTTAGATCCGCCTCTTCAAACCGCACGAGACATTTGGAACGTCTAGACTGTGACGTCACATGACGTATGTTAGCTGCATTTCCATGAACGAAGTTTGAAAAGTGCAAAATTTTAACAAGGAACGTTTAGTCTAGTATATGTATGTAATATCCATTAAATTAAAATGAGTTTATATTCTGTGAATTTTTAGTTGATGTTACGGCGAGAACGAAGTTAGTAGCGAGAACAACATGCGTTGCATTGCGGGTCTCGTGGCGCTTCCGCTCGCTATTATTCATAATTGATCTTGCATGATGAAGTTGGATCATACATGTATTAAACTGTCTGTCTGGTTGCCCAAATTAGAGTTCATGCTGAAACGTTCAATGATTATTTAAACCGAATACATGATGTAAGCAACATTTTATATTTTTCCCAATTTTATCAAATAGCCAATAATTTTTTCCCTATTCCCAAAAATGACGTTTCCCAAAATAGGTTGTTAAATTCCTGTTTTATTTTCATGCCAGTCAAGGATAGATTATTTATTTTCAAGATGACCAAGGGCAAAATATTTATTTTCTTCTCCACTGAAATTGATAAGCAAAAAGCAGTGGTCAAGGGCAGATTATTTATTTTCTTGCCAATCTACGCAGATTTTTTCAACTTTTTTGAGGAGAGATTTCCAAAATTTGCCAGAACCCCCCCCCCTTCCAAAATGAAATGGTTGTCCCCTTATTAACTGGGGTTTCAATATTTTACAAAGTTGTAGGAACTTTGACAATTGTAAATGGAAATATTAACCCTTAAAATTATATAAACATAATAGAAAGCTATTTGTTACATGTTACCGACTGAAACTGCATCCTTCAGAATGATGATGCCCCTTACATCAATCCCCATTCCTCGGTGTCTTGATGGGAAAAAACATAACTATATCTTTGGCAATACAACCACTATACATGTACATAAATATTGAAGAAAATATTTGGTTACGATAAAAAAAAGAAAAAAGAAAGAAAGCTACCGTCCGTCAAGGATACAATTTCAACTTGTGTACAGCTGTACGCAGAAGTACATGTACACTTCTTTTTTTAGAAAACCGTAAATATAAATTATATTCAGTAGTTATTTTTAACTATTACCCAGACACTACAAGAAGTAGTAAGCATGCCATTTCACAAAATATAGTAAGACAATCGGTATGGAATTCAGGAGGACATTTTTTGATGAGTACATGTAGCCAATTTAAACAAATCGCCGCCATTTTGACGTCAGTTACGAATACACCCCCTGACAAGCGTAAGCGGTGACATGATTACTGCGGTGTCGGTAAGCATTAAAAAATGATCACTGCGCGTTGTTCCGGTTACATGGTAAGAATTACTGCTGCAAAAAAACTAGGATGGAGGTATGTGCTTCGGTAAACAATCTTCGATTTTTTTTTATATGACAAAACTGTCAATGCTCAATCAAAGCCTATCCAATAACGATATGTTTCTGCAATTTATTGCAAGTAACAGATCCAGAAACTTGTTACCCGTTTTTACAAACATTCGATCAAACTTTCGACGAAGGCACGGAAAACTTGTCAACATTTACACTGAGGTCACATCAAATCTTCATTTACATTGCTAGAAGACACTGTCACGTCATAAAATTTTGATCTTGATAATAAGTGAACATACTTGTGCAATTTTAAACTTAATTTCTGTCAAGAAAATTTGATTAGTCATTTTTCTTAGTCTTTAAGCATCAAATGATTACTGCGATATCAAAGTAGGCACATATCCGATTACTGCATCTTAGATTACTGCATCCCAAGCAATAACTTGAATTGTATGGTCTGATAATTCTTTGCTTTTTAATTTTAGAAAATGGATTTTTTGTGTGAAGAGTGTGGTAAAGGATTCAAATCCAAAAAAGGAGTATATAACCATCACAGAAGACAACATAGAGAAATGGGCCGTGTTCAGTGCGACACATGTATGAAATCCTTCAAGATAAAAAGCGATCTACAAAGACATCTACGAGTGCATGGAACAAAATCCTATGTATGCCAACACTGTGGTGATCAATTTACCACTAGATTTGCTTTAAAAGATCACAGCGATCGCCACAATGGTGCAGGGAAGTATAAATGTGAAGAGTGTAACAAGTGTTTTGTGAACAAAACGCATTACACTGGCCATGTCGCGTCCCATTCCCAGGATAAAAAACATGGATGCAGCAGGTGTGGGAAAAGGTTCTGCTACAAATCAAATCTTACTCGTCATTTGAAAAGCTGTAATATCCCTAGAAATTTTGAATTTGCTTGTGACAGATGTTTGAAGGCATTTGCAACTAGAAAGGGGCTGAAGCAACATCTTATTGTACACCAGCCAAAGATCTTTCAGTGCCCAAAATGTGGAAAATGTTACCGATACAAAAAGGACTATTTGCCACATGTATCAAAATGTGAATAACTGTTAAACATTTTAATTTCCAGACCGAACATTTTTAAGTGACAGAAGACACCCTGTCCAAGTTAATAGTTATTACTTTAAATTGTAACTTTGAAAAACAAAGGTAATCTAAATTCATATATTTCTTTTAAAGAATCTGACAATGTCTTAATTATGTGTTATTTTTTTTCTTACTTTTGTTTCATTGTTGAGGTAGACTGGTTTATGTCAGTATCATTTCATTGAAGCTTGAAATAAAATTGTTTAATAAAATAGCACGTTGCATGAATTTAATCAAAATTTATTGAACAATATCACTGTATTATAACTATTCGAGTGTAAAGTTCATGTTACATCCGTCACATCAATTCCCAGGCGTAAACTCGACAGCATTTTGGACTCATCGGTCTTGTAATGGGCATCTACCCTGATTGGTTGCACTCCTTTTGGTGCCGATTCAGTCAGAAATTACACCAAGTGGTTTTTTTTTCGATTAGATTTCCTTCCTGGTGTATCAAAAAAGTGATCTCTGAAAAAGAATGCGATTTATCAACAAATTATTGAAATATTCCATTTAATTACATGTAAATTTAATTACATGTAAAATAAAAAATTGTACCAGTTGTGCACAAAACTTTTTTTTATTTTATTTCACTATGTACATACAATGGTGTAATGCTGTCGATGTAAATCGGTGGTTCTCTCTGACTTCCTTTTCCTGAAGGTCTATCACACAAGAGAGCTGGTGTTCGTGGGTAAACGTGAGATTCAGTAGTCTGCATATGGAACGTTCTAAAACAAAAATAAATAGGTATGCATTTTCATCGTCACTACAAAAACCACCTTAGTTTACGATATTATATTATATATTTGCCATTTTTAAAAAATGTAATTATAAAACTACTAGTACCTATTTGGATTGAGCCTCATAGAGTGTATTTGGGTTATTCTTTTCATATGTTGTCCAACACCGGCTGCTGTGAAAACGCCTTTTCCTGATGGATCCAATTCTGTCATTTCAGAAAAGAAACTTTCTCCAATTAGGCTACTGTATGCCCTCCAACAATAGGTTTGTTCTTTTACAAGCTCATAGATGTACAAATGTCCTTCCAGGTTGCACAACAAGGATTCAAATGTAACTTTCGGTATTCCCTTAATATACATACCAGGTGGGGGAAAACATCCGAAATCAACACCATTCAAAAGCCATTTCCTCAGGTTTAACACTCTTTTCACCCTTTCTGTTGCTGGGATACCTGCAATATCTTCTGCTTCTCTCCACTGTCTTATAAGATGACAAAAATTTGCCTCTTCATAATCCCCGTTTTTCGCCATTTCTTCTTCAACTTTTTCACAAAACATTGTCCTTGCAAACGCTTCATTCTGCTGTTCAATTACTTTTCCATTGGGTAATACCAGTAACGATGCCAGCTTTAATGGTGTTTTCCGTGCCTTAGCTACTTTAATCCAAGCTTCTATCTTAATGTTTGCAAGTCCAGATCTGCAAATTTTCCCCCTCAGACAAGTTCGAATGTGTGTACCATCAACCCCCCTTAATTTCCAACTGTTTTCTTACTGGGTGAAATTCTGGGGAATAAAATGGCGTGAATGACTCATTTAAGCATTCTATTTTAATATTTTCTGCAATCGGCCGCTCTTTTATCCAGGATTGAACGTTTTCATTCCAATGACATTCTGCGTGTGCAATAGAAAGTGCAAGCTTTGGATATGTCGGTTTTCTTAAAGCTCTGAGGCACATTATTTTTAAAGATAGGATTGTTTGTGGGGTTTTCCTTTTATTTTTTCTTTGATTTTGAACATTTGAGGAGTCTCCAAATAAGTTTGACATCTTGTTTACCTTTTCATATTTAGGCAGATTCAACGAAACGTGTAAACTCTTCCTTCTTAGTTTAACATTAAGGAATGTCAAAATGTCTCGCAATTCTTTGTCAGTAAATTCATTCAAAGTTTTTGCTGAGGGAAAACAAAACCTGATTTCAGCAGTGTTCTTTGATTCCCACTTTGTCTTGCGTTTACCTTGCAACAAAATGTCACGTACAATTGTGATTTCTTCATCAGTAAGACCTTTGATAACGACATTTCTCTCACAGTCTGTGTTTATCCCAGTGTCGCCAACTTGCAAGTCTTCAACTCCATCCTTTTGAGTATCTGTATCTTGAATCTCTGTAGCATCATTTGAGTAGTCTTGAAGAAAAGAAGAAGCCTCTTGTGCAACTTCCGACTCTAAAGTATTCAATGCACTGCAGAGTAGTTCATTGTCATTGTCTTCGGTCGCTGAGTTTTGATTCTTTTTATCACGAATGCTCTTCCAGCCTTTTGATGATGTTTTTAAGGGTCTAAGTAAATTGTTCTCAAAACTAACCACAACTGACACTGTACTTTTTCCATTTTTTTCTTGAAATATCTTCTGTATATTTTTTAAGGTTCCAACATTTTCTAACTGTTGTATGAGTTCAGTTTTTTTCAAATCGCAGGTCTTTTTCCACACATTTTTCTGCAATTGTGAAAGTGTTAGTGGACTTCCTTCGTAGGAAGTTGTCATCAGTTGTGCCCATTGTCCATCGAATGTTTCGCAAGGAGTATGAAGTCCTTCATCGTGACAGACTTGGTGAAAACGATCGGCTACTTTCCGCATGACATCCACTGATAAGCTCCAGCCTCTTAATACATACCCAATCGGCATGCCATGAGCTATTTCAGAATCCCATAATCGATCAGTGTCAGACATTGTAAATGCAAGAACCTCTGATGCTTTAGGCATTACAAGATTGTATACACTCTCTGTGATTCTTCTTGTTCTGTCTAGTTCTTCAAGCATGCTTGTTATCGATAAAACCGAATTGGAAGTATCCTGGGTCTTTTCAATGAAGTAATGGGGTGATTGTCTTACTAACTGTGAAGTTGGATCTTCTAATTTCCCTTTAAGTGATCTAAATTCACCAAGAAATATAGCGTTGTTGCAAAACTTTTCAAGGTCAGATTTTAATTCCTTGATGTGTTTTGGGATTGATGTAGGTCTTCTTGGAACATCACAATAATAAATGGACTCTACCTCCTGGATAACCCTCTGAAACAACTCGCGGTCATGGTGTACTAAAAATGCTGTAGAGCTTTCCTCTGTCCATGAGAAATACAATGTCTTGTCTGTATTTAATGCTTCCATCTCAGCCATTATCTGACAGGAGTATCTGAGTGGTAAACGGTGGTGCACTGTTGGTGTGTACTTTTGCATCCCAAAAGGACACTTAATTTCTACACAACATATTATCCCTTCCTTATTCCGAAGTGATCCATCGGGCGAAACCTCGATCAGTTTTTTTCCATTTCTTAAAATGAAATATGCACCCTCTTCAAAAAATACTGAGTCTGGGAAGTACATAGGCATAACTAAGGACAGAATAGTCGCAATTCCATGTTTTTCAGACTGTGCTCCATGAGCAATGGCTGACTGTTGCAATTGTGAAAATGGTAAAGGTTCACAATTTGAAACATGAACATCGAAATAAAGTTTTTGCATTTCTAACGAGTCTAACCCAATTGCTTGAAAAATGCTACTACCAGTAACTTTAACTTCCTTTCTCAAACAGTACCACGCGTCAGTTCTCTGTTGTACAAACTCGGGTGGCAATTCGTCAACATGAGACAAACCAAGATGTTCCAGAGCTAAAACACGAGTTAAAAGTGGCGCATAATTAGAACACTTTATCAACTGAACTTCATTTTCATCTTTCCAATTGAATTCTGTTCCATTGATAATAGAAAAGATTTTCCCCAAATTTGACACTGTTAACAAAGCTGACTGAATCAAGTCATTGACTTGATATAATCTTGTTTGAATTTTGTCTATCACAAAGGCCTCCTTTGACTCTTTCCATTTTTCGCCTACTTTTTCCTTAATCTTCTGAAATGACACCGAATTTTTCACTTTAACATACCTAAGTTCTCTCACCTTAGTTCCTAAAACTTCTATCAAACTTTTCATGTCTAGTTGTAGTTTAGAAAAACATTCCCTGATCAATGAACAAGCACTCTGTGAAACTAATTCCATATTTTCAACATGACTTTTAACAGAATCAACCATGTTCAAGTCTTTTAATTTCTTGGATAGCAGAGTAGACATTTTTGGTTCATCTTCAAGATCGATAACCCCAGAATTTGGAACAATCTTTTTGCCATCAAATGTGATAATGGGAGAAACATTACCTTTTCTGCCAGCTATTAATTTCACGATACCTTTATTGATTCCGGGTTTCATTTCTGTCTCAATCATAACATCTTGGAGAGTGAATTCATCTAAACAATTTCTACTAGGTACCACAAAATTAAATTTTGCCATTACTGGATCAAATTCCGTTTTCGAATCCTGTCCAGCATGCTTCGGCCCACCCATGAAACGCAAACAAGAGTTGTCCTGTCCACCAAAATGATTTGCAAACATCTGAGTAGCGCATCTCTCGTGACTCATCTAAGTTTACAAAATTTAAAACATCATAAAAAAGGTGTAGCACTATGCTTTTTGTATTTAAAGTGCCATTTAAAATACTTGATGTAAATTTTTGTAAAAATGATGACAGCCCTGCTTTATTTAATATTTCTTGGACTTGTTGCAACTCTAAATTTGATAAGTCTGAAGTGTTGGAATAAGTACTGGATGAATCAAATAAGTTTTTTCTTGCTTTGCTGTGTGGAGACCTATTTGAATTCTTCAGTACGGATTTCCCTTTTTTAAATGAATACAATGATGTTTTGGTCGGAAAAACAATCGGTGAATGAAGCGAGTTTGGAGACCAGAAATTTCTTTTTGCTGGACTAAACCGTCGTATAGCCGGGGACAGGCATACCCTTTTTGTTTTTGGCGATTTTGAAAAACAGGTTTTAAAAAAACAAGCCCTGGGCCTTTTCCGTTTTCTTGATGTTTGAAGCGTCAATTTCGTTTTCTTCTTCATCTTTAGTCTAATAATGAAAAGAGGAACATTTAATTTTAATCTGTAAAAAATGAGAGAGCATTACTTTTTTTTATCAGTGCAGTAACCTTAGATAAGCAGGTTTGCAGTAATCGGATATGTGCCTACTTTGATATCGCAGTAATCATTTGATGCTTAAAGACTAAGAAAAATGACTAATCAAATTTTCTTGACAGAAATTAAGTTTAAAATTGCACAAGTATGTTCACTTATTATCAAGATCAAAATTTCATGACGTGACAGTGTCTTCTAGCAATGTAAATGAAGATTTGATGTGACCTCAGTGTAAATGTTGACAAGTTTTCCGTGCCTTCGTCGAAAGTTTGATCGAATGTTTGTAAAAACGGGTAACAAGTTTCTGGATCTGTTACTTGCAATAAATTGCAGAAACATATCGTTATTGGATAGGCTTTGATTGAGCATTGACAGTTTTGTCATATAAAAAATATCGAAGATTGTTTACCGAAGCACATACCTCCATCCTAGTTTTTTTTTTTTTGCAGCAGTAATTCTTACCATGTAACCGGAACAACGCGCAGTGATCATTTTTTAATGCTTACCGACACCGCAGTAATCATGTCACCGCTTACGCTTGTCAGGGGGTGGAATACTTATATTCAATGATTGTTATGTATATTAAGTCTCTTTTGAATCACTTCTTCCTTTCATCAATAAACAGTTAGGTTTACATCACATCTGCACCAAACTTTACTCTGTTCCTGTGTGTCGCCCGCGTGGCGCAGTGGTTAGAGCGTCTGCTCTAGAGTCGCGAAGTAAGGAGTTGATCCTTACGTCGCGGGTTCGAATCCCACTGCGGGACGTGGAGACCGGTCCTTCGGATGAGACCGTATAAACCGAGGTCCCGTGTCGCAGTAGGTGCTGGCACGAAAAAGATCCCTCACTGCTCAATGGCCGTAAGTGCCGAGTATAGGACAAAATTTGCAGCTCTCCACCGGCAAGTGGTGGCGTCTCCATATGAGTGAAAAATTCTCGAGAGGGACGTTAAACAACATACAAACAAACTCTGTTCCTGTGAAAGTTTTATGTGGTCTATATAAAAAGTCTAAAGAAATTCGCTACTTGGATGCTCCAAAACAAGAAAACTTGCTTGATTCTGTGATTATGGATGTTGCAATCAGATGCCTTTAAGCCGCCATGTTTATGACCTTGACCTAAAAGTTTGATCTATTTATCTAAAATTTTAACTTTGGACGTAAGCTTTGCTCTAGAAGAGACAGGGCTTTTATATTACTCCACATGTGACAAGACCTTTGTAATGATAAATGTATTTGACCTTACCTCCATATTTTAGTTTAACGCAATTTTAAAACACTTTAATCTTTTTATTAATCATAATTTTTTTTTCTGATTATGGACGAAGACATGACACAAAGACAAGACAAATACAGTATGCCTTAAATACATTAACTGCATCCTAACCACTAAAACACCGAAAGCGGAGGACCACAAATTCTTTGAATTTGCTTGTTACAATTGTATTCTAGAAAAACTTGGATTTTATTCTAGAAGTGTCGCCCGCGTGACGCAGTGATTAGAGCGTTTGCTCTAGAGTCTCGGTGTAAGGAGTTGATCTTTACGTCGCGGGTTCGAATTCCACTGTGGGACGTCGATGCCGGTCCTTCGGATGAGACCGTACAAACCGAGGACCCGTGTCGCATTAGGTGCTGGCACAAAAAATATCCTTCACTGCTCAGTGGCCCTGAGTGCCGAGTACTAGTATAGGTTTAAAGTTTTAGCCCTCCACCGGCAATTGGTGGCGTCTTCGTATGAGTGAAAAATTCTTGAGAGGGACGTTTAACGACAAACAAACATTCTATAAGAGGAAATATAACTTATACTTATATTTCCCTTTCTATGGATGCAATTCTTCAAAACCATGTTAGTTTTTAAAAAGACTAATGTTCCCAACAGCCTAATTCAATTTGAACTACTATTTCAAAGTGTGTCCTATTTTAGTTCTCCTGCTGGGCTTTAGTCTTAATACAGTTCTAGTTTCGAGGAGAAAATTATAGCCAACTGATTAAACTAAAGGGAAAAAACTGAAATTGCTTAAACTATTGACATAAAAAAATCGAGATCCTGTTACGTGTAGATAGAATATTAATTCAATAAAAGAAGAAAATATCGTGAAAGAATCTTGAAGCAATGATTGATTAATTTATGTCAGGTACAGGCCTCAGACATAAAGAGATATCGCCCTCAGCAGCATTAACTTGATTTGTTTCCGATTTTCGTTCGAGATCGCTTTTGAAAGCAGAATAAAAATATAAATTTACGAGAAATTATCAAGGGAAATTCAATCCAATACTTTTTAAACACTGTAAGCTTACATTTCCCAAGGTATGATAAGCTTCATAATGAAATTTTCTGTGTCTCGACCTGGTCTCCTTATGGTGAAAAAAAAACTCCAAGAGAGCCAGCATTGCTTCGTTTCACACGTGACTGTAATCGCTTTATATATATATATATATATATATATATATATATATATATATATATATATATATATATATATATATATATATATATATATATATATATATAAGTTATTGTAATTTTGCATAACAAAATTTCCAGAATCGGTAACAATAGGGGATCGAAGTTTTACACAGGAATAAATAGGGGAAAAAAATCTTCTCAAGTAAAATAAAGCCATGATTAGTCATATTAATGTGGAAGCATCCTCATATATTGAAGATTTGTTTGTTAAATC